CTGTGTCGTCTGACAGCTCGACCGGACGCAGCCTTTCAGCCTTCGGTCGCTGAGTGACCCAGCGTCCGGTCAGAAGCCCGACGCCAGCATCATTGCGACCAACTCCATTTCACCTCTAACTTCTTCACCCTTGTTTAAATATGCCAACCACCAAGTGTATCACCTTGTGCACATGTGTTAGCATATTTTCTCAAACATTTTCAAGAATGTTAGCACTCCACTAGATCCTAAATGCATATGCAATGAGTTAGAGCATCTAGTGGCACTTTGATAACCGCATTCTGATACGAGTTTCGCCTCTCTTAATAGTACGGCTATCAATCCTAAATGTGATCACACTCTCTAAGTGTCTTGATCACCAAAACAAAATAGCTCTTACAAATTATACCTTTGCCTTGAGTTTTTTTGTTTTTCTCTTTCTTCTTTCCAAGTCGAAGCACTTGATCATCACCATGCCATCATCTTTATCATGCTATGATCTTTATTTGCTTCACCACTTGGAGTGTGCTGCCTATCTCATGATCACTTGATAAACTAGGTTAGCACTTAGGGTTTTATCAATTCACCAAAACCAAACTAGAGCTTTCAGATGTTTTGTGAAAATTGACTGACAAGAAAACAAAATATCAGGCGACTGCATTTGAGTAAATCTGAAAAGATATACCATGACCGTGGAGGAGGGCGAAGGCGGGATGGCGGAAGGTGGACGTCGACGGGGCACTCTATAGCTCCACTGGGGCAGGAGGCGTTGGAGTCCTTATCAGGGATCATAATGCCCAGGTGCTCCTCGCTGCTTGGCGTGTCCTTCCGGTGGCTCGAGGTGTTGAAGAAGCGGAGGCCATGGCCGTTCGAGAAGGTCTACGGTATGATGCCGAAATACCAGAATTGCAAGTGATGCGGGAAACAGACTGTAGCTCGGTCTGCTATGATGAAGAACCAAGTAAGAGATCGTGGACCACTGTGGTTGATAATAGAGGAGTCCAGACAAGCTGCGTGCCAGATCGCTCAGTGGAAAATAGGTCACACGAGAAGAGAGAGAAATTGTGCTGCCCATAAGCTCGCACAACTAGCGCTTAGATCAAATAATATGGCGGTTTGGCGCCATGAAATGCCGGTTTGTGTGGAGCAAAATATTGCTCAAGATTGAACAATTTATGAGTAATAATATAACCTCTCTTTACCTCGCAAAAAAATGTTGGGCTTATCCGGGAATGTAGAAATACGGGACAAAAATGGGATTTTTTGGGTTGTACATGGGATCTAAATATGGATGGGAATTTTCATTCCCCTTGTTTTCAATTTTTTCTAGAAATACCAAAACAAATGGAACAAATGTGGAAAACAGGACGGATCGAGATAGGATATAACCTGTCTGTCTCAACTCTAGGGCTAGGACCATTTTTGCCTTGCACCCATAGACCCTTGAGCTATGTCCTGCCTCGTTTTCAGTTTTTTCTCAAAATATGGAAATGAGTGGATCAAATATGAAAAAACAGAACGGTGTTTAGAACAAGATATAACATGTCGTTTTCAACCCTGGCGCTAGGAAGTCACTGTCTCTCTTGCCATTCGTAAACTCGTCGAGCAGTGATAGTGGCTCCCTTTTCTTTATCTCAAATGTCTATATGATGGAGGTCGCTAGAAAGCATTGATTGCTAAAGCTTGATCTACAGCGGCCACGTCATCAACATTTTACAGCCTCAGATCGTGTCAACTTGTTGTCATCTTACGGTGCAAACCTTCTTTTCTTGCCCCCCTCCAACTTAATTCTGTTGTCAATACATGCAAGATCTTTGTTGTCTCTGCTACCTTATCAGTTATCACCTCCATGAAAGCGTGCACAATATGAGTATTCAATTAATCATGCAGCCTTAGTTCTTACACTAGTGGGTAGTGGCATGCATCAGTCTGTTCGTTTGTTGGTTTCAGCCATGGCTTATCAGTCATGATACAGTGTTTTTCTCTCACAACAAACTAGCACCAGCTGGGCTTATCAGCCCAAAAACCAATCAACGAACCGACTGCATGTCTTTTTTCTCCACTCACGCTGGCATGCGGGATTGCATTGTTTTTGTCCATAAACACTCCATTTTTTTATATCTCTATAAATATTTTGTTCCATTCTTTTGTTTGTGGCATGGATGGAGAACACAGGGAGGTCAAATTGATCATAACAGTTGCTATCCATGTTTAGGTATATGAGCAGTATTTTTCAGATTGATATCGGACAAATATATCAACCATTTGATTTTTTCCTTTTAGAATTTGAATCTTTAAAATAATCTGATTTTTTATTTCTTTTGATCATCCATTATATGTTGTATTTGTTTAACAGGATCAGTTCCTGCTTCAACCTCTCGATCTATGGCAATGTACAGTTTTCTTAGCACGTACCGATTTTTTTTAATGAGAATCCATTTTTCTATTTGTTTCTTTTTAATATTGTTCTGAACCTCATATTTTATTGCAACATGAGATGTCCATTCAGCCTGTATATTTAATTGCAATATGAGATCTCCCAGTTCAATAATTTATTTTTGTTCATCAAGATGTCCATTCAGCCTAGCTTATGGGAATGAGATGTCAGGCTATACAACTACTCATATATTGGAAACCCGAACGAAAATCAAATATATTGTCTAAATATTTGTGTTATCAAAATGGCTTCATTTGTTTAACAACTTTAAATGTTTCATAAGGACAACATCTTTGATGCCTAACATAATATATAAACATACTGCTAACTATTTTCATACAATATTCTTGCATTGATGGTTACTTAAATCAATGCTCGGTTTTTATATTTTGTTGTTAGGCCAAGGTTGCCACATAAGTATTTTTTATGACATGGCAGCGTATTTAAGAAGAGAGAGAAGAAATGGGTTTCATCTGGATAAAACACTGTTGGCACGATTACCAACTCTCTATGAGTCATAAAATTAAATGCCAATGAAACCATAGAATGAAACTCTCCATTGAGAGTGAGTGTTTCATTCAAGTTTCATTCCGTTTCATATGACATGGCAGTCTTGAAAACAACGCCATGAGATTCTCCACTGAGACTGGCCTTATTACCAATGGTGTGCTTGCAATGTTGGAAAACTTAAGTTTGCCAGACCACAAACATTTTCTTTTAGCCATCGATCAACGTGCATCATTGTATTATTTCTTAAATTTCCATCTTTAAGACATTAACTTGAAATTGCCCATTGAGTTCCCAAAGCAACGCGTAGGAATTCATCAAGTTTTTGATACTTCTGTGATTGATATTTTTCTTGACTTTCACCAAGAATTCCCATGATTGGTCTTTGCCCCATGATATTTTTCCTATGTGTTACCCAAATGCTTGGCTTCTCCTCCATATCTAGCTGTTATGAGCATACTTATGCCTGATTTTAATCCAGCGATGTGAGATTATGCTATGACCTATATAGTACTTGTGTATTGTTTTTTTTATTATGGAATGTTTGATAAGCTATATGGTGAAACAGAAGCAATAGTCGAGGCACATAAACGACCTAATTTGTATGAAAATAAGAAAAACTTCAACTTAAGAATAAAAAGAAGTTTTGCAGCTGCCGTGGCAGCTGTGGCTGTAGCTCCCCCTCACGTATCACTTTAGAACAACTACTGCAGCGAACTCTATCAAAAAATAAAAACCCCTGCTGCAGCGAACAGAGCTAGTGCGTTTCTATTTCAATAAGTGAATTACTCCATCCGTCCAGAAAAGAATGTAACTATGGGTTGCGTGCCAGTAAAAGTAGTTCATGTTTAATCAAATTTCTAGTAAATACTATTCACATTTACGGCTCCAAAATAATTTATTATGAAAATACATTTCGTAATTAATCTGATGATATTTATATCATAAACATTGATACTTTTTATCTATAATTGATCGAACTTAAGATACTAAACCATGTCACTATGCTAAAATTGCATTCTTTTCTAGATGGAGGGAGTAATAATCAAGAAATCGAATCCCTATGCACTAGATGGAAAGTAGAGTACACCTTTGAGTAGCATCTAAAGAGATTATCCAAAAAGACTAGCCAAATTTAATAATTTAGCTACTCTCTAAAATAGATTTGACAAGAAAATAGTAGAGTACTCCAACAAACTCTATAAAACCAAGAGACTGGATGGCTAGTGAGGTAGTCTATCCAAGAGTAGAGAGCGAATGAGGTGGGATGAAAAGCTACTAAATTTGGAGAGTCATTTACTGTTTGTTGGAGACGTTTTTCTTTAATAATAGCTAAATTTAGCTTTAGAAAATAATTTAGCTAATCTCTTGGAGATGCTCAATCTTAGGACTTTAGCATTTCCCTCCATTTAATAGAATTCGGAATAGGACTTTAGCATTTTGATTGCCTTTTGATTTTCTATAGAGAAAGATCCACCATCACGCTTCTCTTTCTTATATCCAAGGAGGCCCAGGAAGGTCCATAAATAACACGACTATACCTAGGCCCACATAACGGGGCTGGCCTAACCTAGTGTGGACTTAGAAAATTAGCTACTTTATTCTCAAAAAAATATTAGAAATAGGTTATTACAGAAATAGAAATAGAAAAGAGAAAAGGATCGAAGTAGCGCTGCATTCGGACAGGGAGCAAGACCAGTTGTTTACAGACAAATATTCAGGACAAGTCCAACTGTCACTCTGCCAAACAGTAAAAAAAAGAAAAGAAAAAAGCAAAACACACCCTGAAAAAAAAACATTAGTTATTAAAAACTACTGCAATTTCGGTCTCCAATTAGATTAGAAGATCCACTACTGACACAACCAGCCTGCAGCAAGATGTCTGCTATGCTCCTCGGATCCCGTTCCAGAATCCAATCTTGGCTTCAAGAATCCAACCAAAATCTATCCAAGATGGAACCTTCGTTTTTTTTTGAGAGAAAGATGGAACCTTCGTTGCAAGCCAAGATGAAAAATCTCTCGTGTTCAGTTCAATTACGAGGAATTATATGTCCAAAGATGCAACCTTTGAATGGATTCAGTAGTCCGGCATGAGCTGGGAGATCTTGCCCTCCTCGCCAGGGGTGGTTGCAGTCCGGTCCGTGGCGCGAAGCCACAGACACACGGCGGAGAAGCTGAGCACAAGGCTGAGCAGCCCGCTGCCAAGGCCGATGCCAACGATGGCGAGCACGGAGAGCCCCCGCGTCCGCAACGGCGGCAGCGGGTACCCGTACAAGCCCTTGTTCCCTACGAACGAGCTGGCATTGAACCTCGCCGTCCCGACGGCTGCCGTGCTGCCGGCGCCGGTACGGTTGGCGAGGAGCACGGGGATGGGGCCCGAGAGGCGGTTGTAGGAGACGTCGAAGGTCGAGAGCCGGACGAGGAAGCCGAGCTCGTCGGGGATGGGTCCGGACAGCTGGTTGCCATGGAGATCTATGACGTTGAGGTAGGCGCAGCTGGCGAGCTCCCGTGGGATGGCGCCGGAGAGCGCGTTCGCGGAGAGGTTGAGCACGGCGAGGTTCAGCAGCGTGGAGAGCTCCGTCGGGATGGCGCCGGACAGCGCATTCGCGGAGAGGTCCAGCGACTGGAGGTTGGTGCAGTTGGAGAGCTCCGGCGGGATGGTGCCCTCGAGCGAGAGCTCCGGGAGGGCTAGCTTGTACACGCGCCCGTTGTTGCAGGTCACGCCTTGGAGGTGCGAGAAAAAGCCGTCGCACGGCGCCGAGATCGCCGCCTTGGTCCAGTTGAGACCGGCGGAGGGATCGGAGAGGGACTGGTGGAGGTGGGACAAGCAACGCTCGTCGTTAGGGTCGGCAGCGCAAGGAGGCGGCGTGAGCAGGAAGAGCACTGCAGCGATGGCGGCGGCGGCGGCGGCGGCGTGGTGGTGGTGGTGACGGGACATTTGGGGACGGTGGTGGTGGGGAACTCACTCCGGGAGTGGAGATTTTGGGGGAGCTTGTCATCTCTTCTCTCTCTCCTCTCCTACAGTCCTCCTACTTATCTTTCCTCGCAAAAAGAAAGCCGACATGTGGGCCTGTTTCACTCTTCCCGTCGCGCGCGCCATCATCACCACTCGCTCAGTCCAGCTCCAGCCCGTCCACCACCGCCGCCGCTCCTTTTCCAGTCACATGTCGCTGTCATCCTCGGCTTCTCCTAGATCGCTGCTGCGGCCGCCCGTGATGCACGGTCAAGTCGTGAGTGGCGGCGGGAACAAGGACAAGCTGGCGCAGCGGCCGTGGTGGGACGGGAACAAGCCCGACTCGCCGCGCCAGCCGTGGCAGTTGGGCGGGAACGAGGCGCAGGCGGCGGCGAGTTCCTCCAGGCCGGCAGGCCACCACCGGCGCCCCGCGACGTCTTCTGGCTCCGTTTCCTCGAGAAGAAGCAGCAGCAAATACGTGGAGGACTAGCACTATGGGAAGCTGCCGCCCAACTTCCTGAAGCAACAATTCAGCTAGCGAAGATCTTTGCAGCAGAGAATCCAACGCAAGTGAAGAACTTCTTCAAGCTGCTGTATGTCCGCCAAGCCAGCTGCTGGCTGAACCAGGATCTATCGTGGACAAGTTTATTTGAAATGTCAACCGGATGTGCAGTAAACAGCCACAGGTAATAATCTCTTCAGTTGTGGGCTTCAAATAGCAGATTTGGGTATAGCAAATATCGGTTAGTGATAGTTCTTTTGTGTGTGTTGATTGGACATCAATTGGATTTTCATATGGTTGCTTGTGAGAAACTACTTAATTATCTTCTGTTCTGGCTTTATTCAGATTGGTCTTGCAATGTCTCCTTTAAGTAACAACTCATTGTTTGTCGACTATCACAGAAATCCTTTCCCAACATTTTTCTTAAGAGGTCTTAACGTGTCTCTTTCAACTGACGACCCTTGGGGTTGAAGAATAAATTATTGCTGCTTCAGTAATGTCCATCCATCCATCCCTCTATTTTTGTTATCTGTTTTTGCACTCAGAAGTTCTTAGTTTTGATGGCTTGTTTCTCTTGGCAGCTTTGGAAGCTGAGCTCAGGTGATTTGTATCAAATCGCTAGAAATTTTGTCTACCAGTCCGGTTTCTCTCTCAGGCTCAAGGTATAAACTACTGAGTACTGACTTCTATGGCCATTTGTTCGACTTCTCAACGTGGACGGATTCACCGTCTTTTTTCCCCTGTGCTCTAACATCGTCTGTTTTAGTCCTCACATCAGGGTTGAATTTCAACACATTGTATTTATCCCTGTATTCAAATGGTGTATCTTCATATGCTCAAGTTAGCTTGTATCTGTTTACTTCTCCTTACTCTGGACCGCAGACCTGAAAAGAAAAAATGCAGTCGATACATTTTGAGAATGTTATATAAACTACCGGAAGAAATTGACAGGTGAAGACTAGAAGAATTGTGATGCCGTGGCAGTAAAGTGTACGCAGTCTGCCAGTGGCTGTAAGGGAGGTGAAAAGGTGTAAACATGATCCTGCTTTTCGTTTAATCTCTTAGTTGCAGAGGTGTAAAATGTTATTTTGCATGTATTAAACCTTTGGATATCAGGATAATTTGACTGATCTTTTTGGGGAAGGTTCAGGCCACGTTTCTAGAAGGCCTATTAAATCAATCTGTACCAGACTGAAAGCTGGATTAGAGGAAACTTCTTGCGAGGACCAACAAGAGAAAGGCAGTGCTGTGGAGAGGAGTGAGGAGAGAGAGGGAGGGCTCGGCGGGGACGAAGTGGAGTCCAGAGTGTGGGAGGTTTCGACGGCGCCGGGGAAGGAACGGAGAACCGGAGCTCACACCGGCGGCGACCCGCGCGGCGGAAACCCTAGGCTTGGGGGCGCGGGGGACGGAGTGAGGGAGGGAGGACTACGGAGTGAGTGAGTGAGCGACTCAGACGCGGAGGGATGCTGGCTTTACAGCCGTTCGACTGGACTTGGGCCAGCCGAACGGCTGGGCTGATCAACCCAGCGAACAGCGGCCCAGCCAGCCGATTTTGCCCAGCCGAACGGGCTCTTGATTTCTCGGCCCGTACTTTAAGCACACCAGATCCAAACATACAGTAAACATGATGAATTGGGAGTACCCTGGAGTATTGCTTTGGACCTGAAATATCTTGAAACTGTAACTCCATATAATATTGAGGTGAACCAGTTTGTTTTTATTGACAAATGTTATTTAACTACTGTGCTTTCGCTGATCATTTGCAGCTAAATCCAATGATTTCACGTTGAAGGGACTTTGTCGAATGTGGGCTAAGTCTGAATCTGTGTCCAGCTAAGTCTGAATGTTACTACTCTACTGAACCTGTGGCCAGCCCTTCTTTTCAGCAGCCGGGAAGGCAGGCGCGATCTGGCTTCCTGTTCGTGTCGCGCTGCCCCGGAAGGTAAATCTTGCATCTACATTTTGAAGATAGCAGGTAGACTCCTTGATGGACATTTTTCAATAATGACAATACATAAATGACAAATATAAGTATCACAATTCTTCTAGAATCAGGTACTGTGTTTGTGGATGGACAAAACAAGTGAAACTGAAACTTCTAAGGTCTTGGAATGGAGCATCACACCATGTCACCATGGTCAATAATATTATAGATTGTAAACTCACTTCAAAGGTGACTGGATTTGGGGAGAGTATGCCAACCTTCCTTGTATCCCTTTTTTTAGATATTCTTGTTCTTAGGAATTGTATCAATCGGGAATTTAGCTTCTTTCAGACTTAACGTAGACTGCAACCAATTTTGTTGACGAATTTAACCAAGTGTGTAGAAATGTTTTAGTCTACGATAATGATATGATTAAGACGTCCGGATGGACGGACGCCTCGCTCACTCCCGCAGTGCTCGCGCCCCTCTCCATTCTTATCCCTTCGCGTCCTGCCCCAAACCCGACGACGCGGCCATCGCTGCTTCCTTGGCCACCGCTGGCTCCTTCCCCCACCCTCGGTGTCCTCCTCCCCCACCCCGACGTCCTCCTCCCCACCCTGGCGGCCCTATCCCCACCCTGGCACTCGACGTGGAAGCGGTGGCCGCATCGCGGCAGCGCGCGGGCTTTCTCCCCGGGCTCGAGCTCCGCGAGGCAGACCACCGGTATCGCGCGAGCAGCCGCGGAATCGAGGCCGCGGGGCGAAGGTGCCCCCACGCCGTCGCCATTGCTGCCGCGGCGATCCTCGTCGCCACCATCGGCGATGGCCAGGCTCCGGAGTAGCCGCCGCTGGCCGCTGTCGCCGAGCCCCGGCGGCCGAAATCGACCGACGCCGCCCTCCCCTCCCCTATGTTACATATGTATGTTTCAAGTGTTTCAGGCGTTTTAGATTTATGTTGCATAAGTAGATCGAGGGATGTTGCATATATTGCAATTGTTTTTTAGGCATGTTGAAAGTGTATGTTTCGAGTGTTTCAGATGTTTCAGAGGTATGTTTTATCTGTGTTTTCCGAACGCATGTTACAAGTGTGGTTATCTGAATGTTGCGTATGTTTCATACATACATCGCATGTGATTTATTGAGATGTTGCGTATAGTTGCCATGGTTTTCAAGTGTGTTTCAGGTGTTTTTTCAAGTGTTTTAGAAGCATGTTTGAAGTGTTTCAACTGCCTTTAGATGTATGTTGCAATTGTTGTATTTGGATGTTTCAAGAGTAGATCGGGTGTTGCATCTCTCCTCCCCACATTCCGCTGCATCGTTTCTCTTGGAGCCGGCAAGGCATCCATACGACACCGTGGCCGGGTCCTTCCGAATAGGAGGTGCCGCATGCCTTTCCCCTCTTGTCGCTCGGGCGGTGCGGGCCCTGCGTGCAGCGCGAAACGGGCGCAGCGGGGGGCTTGCAGAGGGAGCAGCCTGAGATGGCAGCGTGGTGGCGGGATGAGGGTGTGGTGGAGATAGGTCGCGGATGCTGTGGGACGCGCGCGTGCACGCATGCTGACGCTGTTTCTGTACGCGGGTGTTGTTTTTGGAGGTGTGTTTGGACGTGTTCTGGCGCCGGACGTCTGGGCGCTAGGTGTACCGTTTAGTCTATTGGTTCATCAGGTTTTCTTGTAGACTAAATTTTTGTTTCAGGTTCTCTGTTAATCAGTGACAAGATTGGCTTGGTGGTCTGTGGTCTCGATCGTAGTTGCTGCCTGATTGCTGCTGGAGGAACGTATGCAGGGGCTCGCTCGGTCCAGGCGATGGCCTGGTCCCTGGGGAGGCCGCAAGACAGCCCACTGCGTCCGCCCAGGCGATGGCCTGGGGAGGCATCAAGAAAGCTCACTTGCGGCAACGGTTTTCAACGGCCCGGCCCATATATTGCGCCACCTGGGTTCGGTATTGCTCCACCCAGTCTGCCCCACTCCCACAGTCCCAGCTCAATCTGAAAGTGATCCTGTTTAAATTGCCATCTGACGATGACTCCAAGCAAAAACCATAGTAGATGCCATGTTGCTATTTCCGTAAGCTGTTTTATTCAACGTTGAGGAGAAGACTCCAACTTGTATATTGTAAAATCGACAAGGTAGCAGCTGAGTGCGTTTTTGCTTTACATGTAAACAACTTCACTGTCCAAACATACGTGGGAGAGAGAGCTGATCGGCGACATGGAAATTTGGATCTCTCCATTGCTGAACGCTAAGAATGGATGGTTGGAAGATTGACCCTATATATATAGAATAGAAAAGTCAATATGTATGTTAACTCTGTGGTGTCGTCTCCCATTGTCTTGTACAGTTGTACTACAAGAGCTTTCCATCAGCACTTACTTTTGGCATCTCGAGCTTACCGATTTCGGAGGTGATTGTCTACATCATCGATAGCAATTCGTTTCGACACTTCCATTTATATTCTTCCATCCAATTGTCGACACATCCAACTGTTTCACTTATGCTGATATTTGGGTTATGCTGATTTATTATGAGAAGAAAACACTATTTATTTACTGAAAAATAGTTTTAAGCAAACAGTATTATATTCCGTTGCTATTTAGGCACTGTTGACTGTTGCACCAACAACTCCCGACCTCGCTTCTAACTAGAGTTAAGAATCTTTTTGTGGTGTTAACTAGTAACCTGGATGGAGACCAATGCAGTAGTACCACTGACCAAAACACTATTTTTAGGCTATGTTGGTTTGTACTATTCAGCTGGTTTTAATCCGTATAAATTAATCGTGAAACAGTATTTTTCTCTCACAACACATCACCTTAATTAGGTTGGGGCATGAATCCTGCAAAATATTGAAACGTGAGCAAATGTGTTTTATTTCTTCCCAGAGTTGTTAAATGTACTGTGGTGTGGTGCAACATTTTTTCTTTATATATAATGAAAAAACTTAGGGCTTTCATAACACTACTTTTTTACTAGTAGCCCCAAGTGCCGTATAGGATCGGATAAAAAAAGTAGGCGCTCTACTTTTGTCATAGTGGCTTACAAAAGCTACATATGCTTGAGGGGAGAGAGAAGATGGTTATGCTAAAAAAGAAGAGAGAGAGCAAATAAATGTGTGGTATGATGAAAGAAAAAAGAGAGAAGGTGGTCCATGCTAAAAAGGAAGAGAGGAATGAATGCACATTAATTTGGTATTCAGATTAAAGTTCTACTACCAGAACCCTATTAAAGTTTGTTTTGTTATGAGAGAAAAATAGTATAGATTATAGCTGATAAGCCGGCTAATAAGTTCAAAACGAAGGTGCGCTAAAGAAGAGGTACGATAAAAGAAAAAAAATTCTTTGTAAACTACTGGTAGTGATGATTTGCATCGTGTAAATATTAGTATCCGTATTTCATACTCCGTGGATCACTTTTATTCCTACTAAGGCACTGTTTAGTTTCCAATTTTTTTTTTTACCTCCTACGGTAAAAAAATATGTTTGACATATGCATGAAGTATTAAATATAAATGAAAAAAAACTAATTACATAGTTCTCGGTAAAATCGCGAGACGAATCTTTTAAGTCTAATTAGTCCATGAAAAGCCTTAAGTGCTATAGTGACCCACATGTGCTAATGGCCGATTAATTAGTATCATTAGATTCGTCTCGCAGTTTTTTGATGAGTTCTGTAATTTGTTTTTTTATCCAAAATCTCTCCCAATATATCCGATGTGACACCAAAACACACCCTAAAGCAAAAACTACAGAAGAAAAAAGAAACTCGCGTCGTGTGTCGCGTCGTTGCATTAGCCACCATTCGCTTTTCTTTTCCAACGAGCTTCGACTACACCAACGCCACTTCGTCCTAGTGCTAATCATCGCCTCCTCTTAATTGCTGCAACCACTACGCTTCGTGTTCTCGGATCAAAAAAAAGTGGGGGGAGCAACAAGAAACAGATTTGGAGCGGCACGCCAGTAATACGGACCGGGGGGTGACCTGGGGCGTGGAGATTTTTGGCCGCTACCTGCATCTCCGCGTCGCGGTCCCAATCAAGATCATTATTTCTTTCTCCTTCCTTGTCCCCGCCCAAATCACAAGGCTTGGTTCTTGCAAATCGCCCTTGGTGTGGCCCCAAGATTCGACGCCCCAGCGCCCTCGCTGGAATCGTCGGCGCTGAGGAGGGACTCGAGGCGGCCGTCGTCGCGCTTGTCTCGTCTCTCGTCAATCTCCCTCCCTCTCTTGTCTCTTGTTCTATTGCGGGGATTCGCCCTGATTTAGAGGAGCCAGTTGCTGGTCTAGGAGCCGTTCAGCTCGCTCCGGACCGACGATTTGGGGCAGCTCCGAAGGTGCGTTCTTGTGATCCCCAAACAATACTGCATCCTGTAACCCTCGATTTCTTGGTTTATGTGAAAAAAGTCTACGTTTCGTTCCAATTGTTTGGAAGAGTCGTTGCCATTTGGCAGCATTATGCCGGACTTTTCAAGTCAACTTGTTGCATTCCTTGCTGATTTTTTGGTTTTCGCAGGCAAAATCAGGTCTTTCTTGCCGTTAGCTTGAGAGATCATCCACTTCCGCATGCCCAGTTGGGCCTGTCTCGTGATCATTCTGTAATGCGGTTTGCGGCAGGCGGCAGCCTCCTAGAAGATTGAGAAAATTAGGAGGCATCTGATACGACGTCTTCCTGGGTACCCTCAAGAAAGGGTGCTGTGCCGTGAGGGCCTCCTCTTGGGCATCCATGGGGTTCCTCAGCCTTGTGGGTAACTCCTTTGGATGCTCTGCTTCCGGTGAGCGGCTTGTCTCAGCTGCCCGCGACGGCGACCTGCAGGAGGCACGTGCGCTGCTCGAGTACAATCCTCGCCTTGCCCGGTTCTCGACATTCGGTGGCCGGAACTCACCGCTGCACTATGCCGCAGCGCAAGGTCACCATGAGGTAATGCCGTTTGTCTTCTAATAAAGAAAGCATCACCATAAGAGTTGATGGGCATACTATAATCACTATTTGCATTCAAATATGTTTGCTCGTTGGATGTTCAGATTGTCTCTCTGTTGCTTGAATCTGGAGTTGAGATCAACCTTAGGAATTACAGGGGGCAGGTAGAGTTAATTTGTAAGCCTGCATATATTGAGCTTTTGCGTAATATATGACATAGTTATATCTCAGACTCGGTGTATGATTTGCTAATTCTATATAGACTGCTTTGATGCAAGCATGCCAATATGGCCACTGGGAGGTTGTTCAAACACTGATACTCTTCAATGCAAATGTGAGTTTTTTCCTCTTCTTTCAACAACAACATTTCTTACAGTTTCTCGAATATGTTGTTCTAATGTGGCAAAATGGTATACAGGTTCACAGGACAGATTATCTCAATGGTGGAACTGCTATCCATTTTGCAGCACTGCATGGTCATGCTCGATGCCTCCGTCTTGTGCTTGCAGATTATGTTCCAAGCGTACCGAATTTCTGCACCGTGATGGACCATAGGTCATCTGAAGAAGATTCAGCTGCTGATTTTGATCATGAGTATGTTGGGTAACTTGCATGTTTTCTCTGTACTAGTTTATTTTAGTGCACAAATCATGCAATAGTATGTCTTTGTTATCAGTGCTTTGGTCAAGATGGTAAATCAGAAGGCGGATGGAGGCTTAACCCCACTTCATATGGCAGCATTAAATGAGCATGTAGAGTGCGTGCAATTGTTGCTGGACTTAGGAGCATCTGTTTCTGAGGTCACTATTGAGGATGGAACAACTATAGACTTAATAGGTATTTTGCTATTGTTCCTTTTTTAACTGCTTTTCTTAACAGTTAGTTCAGTGTCATGTACTATATACGTGTCTGTTTATCACTTTGCCTTTTTGGCCGCATACTCTTGTTGTAAGTGCTTAACCTATTGGTGAGAACATTGTAGTAAGCAAATTAACACCAACATATATGATTTTTTTGTCTTGAAATGGTTTCAATGATTGTCTTCTGTGTGTAATTTGTACATATGCTCATGGGGTGAGCAAACATATTTCCTTTACTGACTTGAAAAAACTTACGATATTGCTCCTGATCTTATCTGCAAATCCACGTCTGTATTTGTTCACTTCTTGTCACATATTAAGATATGCCACTTTATTAAGTGAACTCTTTGTCTGCTATATTGTCATTTAGTTCGTTGCACTGTTTGAAAAGTACTTTGGCTTCAATGTGGCAGGAGCTGGTAGCACCCCACTTCACTATGCTGCTTGTGGTGGAAATGCTGTCTGTTGTCAAGTACGTTCTGCTAGTCCGAATTTTGTTCAAATGTTGGGTTAATTCCTTTAATTGTGTACTAATAAGGATTTGTTCACTGCAGCTCCTAATTGCTCGAGGAGCTTGCATTACTGTGCAAAATGCTAGCGGGTGCGATTTCCAACTTCTGCCACATGGCAAATAGCTTTCACAATTGTTGTTAGCACTATGATATGTCTAAGTACATGTTCATTTCTGTTATGCAGATGGACCCCATTAATGGTGGCTCGTTCCTGGCAAAGAAATTCAGTTGAGGAAATCTTAAGTAAAGAGCCAGAGGAGCGGATACGCACTCTTCCTTCTCCTTATCTCTGTCTTCCACTTATGAGTATCATGAACATTGCCAGGTGACCATGTCCCCTAATTTAGTTATGCTTCTGTTAGTTCCCTGGTCCTGTGGTCTGCATGGGTTAAATAGTAAATAACTGCGCATTGCTTCTTATAGGCTGCCATGTGGTCTTGTTCATTTGTATACTTCTTAGTTGCCTGATTATGAACAGTTTCCCTTATTATTGTTTTCCTAACTATGTAGTACGAATTCCAACACTTAGCAGCCTACCATATCGGTCTATTTTGCATTGTTTGTATAGGAAATATCTAATGGCTTTATGGCATTTCATTCTCTAGGGAGTGTGGATGGAGGTATCTAAACCAGTCACCTGTTTGTATTGACCCTTGTGCTGTCTGCTTAGAAGGGAGCTGTTCTGTTGCCGCAGAAGGTATGCTGCCAAATATATAGTATATGGTTTACTGGCCATTGCAGTTCAAGCTAACTGAATTTATACCTGGAAAATGTTCTCATTAAAGCTAGCATTCTACTAGTAGTAGTCTGAGCTTCATATCCAGTGCATATATTAGCTTTACACTTTATGCTCTGGTGGTTCACAGCCACCTAGTATCTTGGTTTGTCATGATTGCAAACATTGTGTATAACTAGACATACATATTTACAGTGAGCAAAACCTAAACGATTGCCCTTCCACTTTGTTTGTAGGTTGCAAACATGAATTCTGCACAAGATGTGCTCTATACCTTTGTTCAACCAGTTACACATCAGTGAGCCCAGCTGGTGCAATACCATGTCCTCTCTGCAGGCATCCAATCGTCTCTTTCACCACTCTTCCTGGCACGAGCCCGATAAGAGAGCTACCGAGAAACAGCCTTTCACTGTCATTCTGCACGACGTGCCCAGCCGTGAACTCCGATTCTTCTGCCCCGATTGCCGCCCATCTGTACCGGACGGAATTCCAGTGCGGGCGCATGCCACTGATGGGCTCATCCTCCTTCCGCTCGCTGAGCTGCCAGAGGATACCGGCGATGAAACTGAACCCGTCGTTCTGTATGGGTTCCATGGACACGAACCCCTGCCTCATAAGGTGCTCAAGGTTCGGATCTAGCCTGCGGCTCTCGGCTTCCCAGGGAGAGGAAACTAGAAGAGCTTGGCCTGTGACGTTAAACCCAATTGTCGCCACCGGCAGCTGATTGGCGTCGGTAAATACATAGCGCGTCTCAGTTTTGTCACCGTCTTGAGGTCTGTTTTTGCTTGCCAATTCTTTAGTTGGTTTGATATAGTGTTCACCGTTGTGATATGGTATGAACTCCGCCGGTTCCAAGTCCTTGTTGATATATGTCAGAACAGCACGTAACTACTACTACTACCTTGGTATGTAAATAACCTTGTGGTGTTGTATATTTCCGGGAAGCATTGAAATTCAAAGGCATCAGTTTTTTCAGTGCATCACCCCTGGCTCTGGCTGGCTACCCTCTTGTTTGGACTGACAACACTTGTGTGATTGGTGTCCTTGTGATCAAAACTCAAAAGGGGGAAGTGGTTGTGGCACGAAAGAGGCATGTGTTGTGGTTGTTTCAAGTTATTACATCCGTGCATGTCGTCCGCTGTGTGTCGGATTTTGGTGGTTTCGATAACTGTCCATGTGCTGCCCTCCATGTACTAGTACAGTTTGTTTATTGCCGGTTTGCTATCTTTGCTGTCAGCCTGTCACCAGGATGCATCACGGATCTGCCTGTCGCCCCGTGACCGTGATCTTTTCGGCATGGTCATGTAGGGCGTGTTTGATTTGCTGTATCTGGCCGGCTTGGCCGGCTGGCTGGCCAGCTAGAGTCCGCTCTAAATGGTACGAGTGATTGTGTTTGATTGCACATTTCTGCATAGCCGAGCTCACCTGAGAACGTGTTTGATTGCCCGTACAGAAAGAGTATGACTACCTTGCACAAGAACATGGTAACCTTATCACTAGACCTCCTCTCAGCACTCCTCACTGGCATTTCATCGAGCAATTGATGGGCGCGAGCTTGTCCAGTGCCAAGGGATGGCCATGGTGCAGATTGTGCGGGCCGCCACCGGTCGCTGGTGAGCACGAGCCCCGCCCACAGCCACGCAATGCTCCATCCCTCCGCTCCCCACACGCATGCACGGTGCCCCAGCAGCTACAGCAGGCGACTGTGGCAGGTGAGTCACGTTGCAATATGTACAACACACAATCTACTTTTAAAACACCTAGATGAAACTTTTGCAACATGCGTACATCATCCAAATAAAAACACTTGCAACGTACGTCTGAAAAAAGAAATGAAACATTTGAAACAGACGCTTGCAACATACATGTATAGCCATTGCAACATATGCAATATCCTGATCTACTTTTGCAATATCTATACGAAACACTTGTAACATATCTCTGAAATATCTGCAACAATTGAAACATACATTTGCAACATAGGAGGGAGAGCATCAGGCCGGTCGATTCCGGCCGTCAGGGTGGGAGGCGGTGGCGTGCGAGCACCACCAGCACCGACCGCGCTCGTGCGTGCCCCTTGGCTCGGCTAGAGACGACCTAAGGCGCCCCGACACCTGCGCCTAGCCGCCTGTAACAGAACCGACCAATTATACGAAATTAAGTAAGAAAATCATCCACCAGAGCAGACGATTGAGCAAACTTAAGTCCATATAACCCGGTAGTCCGTGAAATCACGAAGGATTTCAAACCAACTCGTGTCCCAGCCATGATCGTAATAAGTTTAGCGGTCACCAATCACATATTACATAAAAGTTTCCATAATGAGATACATCGAGTTTAAACATAGTTATTACAAAACAAGTTGAATAAAAGTAGCGGAAGTCATTTGTTTAAAACCACACACACACTCACGCGGAGTTTAAATATAGTGCCAATGAATGATCATTACCAACAAGCATTAGATGAGGCGTAAGGAATGACCATGCCCATGGTCCTAAGCATCACCCATCGCAGGATAGAGGCGGTTGATACAATAGCCGTAATACATCCGCCCATCTCGCAACAAGTGGGAATAAAACCACGAGTACGAGAAGGTACTCAGCCTGGACTTACCCGACATAACCGAAAATAAATGACACCAAGGATTATGCAGGCATAATAGTAGGGTAGTGACTCATTTGCAAAAGAAGCATTTTAGCATTTCAAGAACCTTTCTAAAAGCATTATTGTCAAGTTAATTATTATTAACTGTCGACTAGATTTGCACCTATACTAGAGTAAACATGTGATTAAGCAATTAATGATAACCACCGATCATTAAACAACTTCCATCTTGTCATATTCACTATAACTGTCCAAGTGTTCCATAAACATTTACTACGATGAAGTCACTCAAGTCAAGTGCTCACTATCCGGGAGCGATGGCGATTCGAATCGATTCTAACCGGTGGGTGATTTATTCCTTACACAAATCTCACTCACCCGCTAAAGTGAGATATTGATCACCGAGTCAACTTTCGGTATCTCGAGTTTGCCAGAACCACATGTACCGGGGCCGACCGATCGCACTTTGGTCTTATCATCCCCCCGTGTCCTACCACATCTGCTTGACCGACAAAGTCTTGTCATGGGCAATCTACTCGGCCCGAAAAATCTCCCGGCCAGCGGTCGGAAGGTACTTTATCCGGCCGGCTAAATGTAAGGCATCGTTCAACATGACTCGAGGCCCAACAACGGTCGGTCCTTAATCGATACGCACGGAAACACTACGGTCCAAAACCGCAAGTCTCCGCCGGTCTCAACTTCATTCAACACTTAGTTATACCATGACTTCATAGCCATCCAAAAGCAGATCCGGTAACCACCTATAGCTCGCGGTGGCAGAAATCACCCGACTTCTACCGGTCTAAGCCAGCTAAGCATTGACTTGACTGCGGATACCAGGGTAACAAGGATATAGTATAACAAAGGTAAACAAGGTATAATGCAGCAACGGTTGCAAACAACTCCTGAACGTAATGCATCAATTTTAAGTAAAGAATTTAACGAAATCATTGCAAACGGGAGAAAGATGCTAAAGGGCTTGCCTCTCGAAAGAGCTCGGGGACGGTGATCGGGGCACTCCGGAAGTTCCTCAACGTCCTCCTCGTCGGCTTCTGTCACTTCCTGCGGCTGCACCTCGAACTGCTCCTCGGGCTCCTCGGGAATGACGACTGGGTTCTCGGTTTGCGATCCTGTATGATGCAATGCGTGTAAGTGCCTATGCAATCGGTGCATCGAAGGAGATGAATGCAATGGATATGTTGAAAGGCAAGGTAGTCAACATCATCCAAGAAACTATGCTATAAGCACATGTCATCTACTGCATTCTCTTCTACTACCAATATGTTAAGTCAACATATTTTATTAAATGCTTCAAAGATACACCAAAGCTTTACTAATTTCTTAATCACACTTAAGGCAACACTTGCTTAAACCCTAATTAATAATAGGTTTGAATAGCAACCTATATTTCTGATGCTCCTAAAAATCTGAGAAAATTACAGTAGCATAATACTACCCTAAACAGACTACCATAAAAATTTCATGGCATTTGGATAAGTAAACTATCCTACACAAAAATGACAAGCTATAGCCTAAAAATGAGCATGAAATTACTTTGTACTATGAAAAGTGTCAAACAACAGAATTAATATTTTTCCTAGGTTCTTCATGGTATATAATGACTGTACAAAAATTGTCACATGCGTGTTTTATACAAAATTTGTGCTCTAGCAAAAATAACAAAAATCAGCCATTAAAGGTACTTGAACTACACCTCAAATTTTTCCCACAGCACATGCATGAAACATATTTTTCCTAGGAAGTACATGACATAAGAAGATGAACAAACTTGAAATCATATTTTCTGAAGCCTATATATTTTTATACACATTTTCAAGTTATCAGCAATATTCAAGATTAAATAAAATCCTATAGAAAAGTATCTCAAAAATGACATGCACAATTTTTCCCAAGTAGATCTGATGATAAGGAACCTAGCAAAATTTGTTTCAACAAATTTAGAGCAAATTTGAGTACCCAAACATTTTTCAAACCATTTCAAATAAAGAATAAATTGAAATCATTTATTCAAGCGCTCTTTGGGCCAGCCCATTGAAATCAGCTGGCCCACGGCATAACCGCCCGCGCTGCAAGCCGAGGAGGAGGCTGGCGGCTCTAAGAGGCTTGCCCACGGCCTGCTTGCTTACGCATTTACTGGTGGTGAAGCGAAGGACTCGCGGCATGCATGCTTGGTGGCGCTGACATGTGGCTTTCGGCTACACGCAGGCCGGGCGGCCATCTCCGCCACGGCAGAAGAAGAAGCTAAGCGGCGACGAGGTTCGCGAGGCATTGGCGAATCGATCGGCTGAAAGCGAAGGTGGAGAAGGGAGGAAGGGGAGTCCCACGGCGGCCGAAAGCACGCGGCGCCATGGCCGCGGTGGCGGGCGCTGGAGGCTCACCCAGGCTCGGAAGGCGGAGTAAGCTCGAGCGCGACCTCAAGGAAGGCGAGGCGGAGTTGCGGGCGCGAGCAATCGGAGAATGGCGCTGTGGTGCGGAGCTCGGCGTCGGCGGAGCTCGAGCTTGGCGAGGCGGAGCTCGGGGCTCGCGGCTCTGGCGGAAGGAAAAACAGTGCGGGAGGAGTGACGGCAGAGCGCGTGCGACTGGCAGCAGGGCGCGCTCCTCTTCAAGCCCGCCAGCGCGCTGCGAGGTCAGAGCTAGCCGGGCGCGGGCGGAGTCAGATCGGGCGAATGTGATGGCAAGACGCCTGTGTGGAGAAGAAGGAAATGTGTGGCGTGCGGGCAGGCCGGGGTGGCGCGGGGCTGGGCCGAGGCGAGGCGGCTGGGAGGGGGCTTTGGCTGGCTTGGCTTATGGGTTGGCGAGAAGCGAGGTGTGAGCAAAACAGAAAAACTCTTTCATTTATATTTTCAAGAACTTTTTAAAAGCCAGCTTTCAAATCTTATTTTGAGTAAGAAGATGACCTCTTTTGAAAATGTACCAAAAATGAAAGTTGCTTAGAATTTAATTCTCTACAACTTTGCTTTTTGGACCAAAGCCAAATTCTTTCTAGATTTTGAATTATAAGATCAAAGTCTACG